CCCCAATGACTTCCAAAATTTTCCTTCATATAAAATTAGACTTCAATCCCTGAATATGTTAAGCCTGGAGTCACGCCGGTCTTTGTTGTCTTCTTGTTTTACCTATGATGTCCTAACAGGAAAAATAGACGTGGACTTCATTAGAGACAAAATTATTATCAACAACGACGTCAGACCTACCAGACATACTAAATTCTTAAAAGAATATACGCATAGGACTGAATATGCTAAAAATGAACCAATAAATAGATGTTGTACTGTATTCAATCGTTTTAGTCATTTTTTTTCACCAGTAGTTACAAAATACACCTTCAAAAAAAAAATTCATAATTCACTACTGACCTAGTACAATATCATATGATAATTATACGTATGACCTAATTGTACAATTATTAAATCATATTAATATTAAATACCTACTCAGCATAAATGATAACATAATAAAATTCTTTCTTTTTATTTATTATTTTTTTTTTAAATGTATCATATTACATTTGTGTCATAAATTCATTTAATGTTTTGTTAGTGTAATTCAACTTAGTCTATAAGTATGTATAATGTATATTTTTGTCAATTATTGTAAACTATGTAAATTTTTGTAATTATGTAGCATCTTGCTTGGTGCAAATTAAATAAAATAAAAATAAAATAAATTTTTTGGAGAACCGGTTTTTTTTTTTGCATATGAAAGATAAACATAAAAAACTTCTATTTTTGCAATAAAGTCTTTTACGTAAAAATTATTAGATTAGACCTTCATTCACACGTGTCTTCAATTATTCAGTATTAAAAAATGAGTTTAAAATTTTTGTTGACAAAATTAATTTTAATTGAAAATAAATTGAAATTTTTTTAACAAAATAGAGATTTTAATATTTTTTCTAATAGGTAATAAAATTTAAATATTTCTTTAAAATATTTTTATTAAATTTTTAATCTATGTAATATGATTTAAGTATATTGTTTTTTCTTTATCTTTGTCAATAAAATATTTTTGTTTATATTTAATTTTGAACGTTTTCATTTTTAAGTAGTTATAAATTGACATTTTTTGTGATAATGCATTCTCAATAGAAAATATAAGGTATCTATACCTAAAAAATGTCAAAAATATTTTTTTTTTAAATAATAGTATTTATTTAATGTTAGAGAATAAAAAAATTATAAAGATTTTATATTTCATTATTTTTTATTTAATTATAACAATAATAACTGTTATATAAATTAATATTTGATAACACATTTATAATTTTTTATATTTTAGAATTATTAAGCTTAATAAAAAATAATGTGGTTCTGATATTAGCTAAATAAGTAATATTTGTTTTTTTTTCGTTTTTGCTCTTGTATAATTTCATTTACATCATTATGTATTAATTATTTAAATATATAATATGTATAATTATTCCAAATTAAATTTCATATTGCCATTTTCAAAATTGTAATAGAAATTTAATATTGTACTTAACTGGTTTTATTTTTATTAATGTTTGCAAGAGAAATGTTAATATTTAAATTATTGTTTCAATTAATAAGCAAAATTTTGTATTTAATAAGCAAAAATTTTTCTGCTTTTGTATATTATTAAAATTCATATGTACAGTTATTCGAAAATATAGGTTTCAGAAAAATAATGAAAGTTTCAAAAAAAATATTAAAGAATTACAAAAAAATTTTTTTTTTTTGTAATTTTGTAATTGTTAATTTGTTTTTTTTTTTGTAGTCATAGGGTAGCACGTCCAGTGCAGAAACTGTACAGTTCCGTTACGTCCAATCGAATAATTTGCTTTAGAAGTTTCATGTACCCATTGCCGGACATATGGCTGAGGAACGTATCAGTGCTTATCAAGCTCACGTTTCCTGAACCATATGTGGCTCAGCGGACAGAGAACGTGTTAAAGGCAAATCTGTTATACTGAAATAAAAGTTTTAGTATACATATTTTTCTATATTTAGTGTGTTTCAAGTTTTGTAAATAAAAAAAAAATATATTATGGAATAATTATACACTCATATTATTTGTAATTATTATTGAAATTTTAATTATTTTCTCTATTTTTTAAATATTATATTTATATGTTAATATTTAATATCGTTTATTATAATAATTAATTTTTGTGTGTGTTTTTTTAAGGCAATCCAATTTTGTTTTGTTTTAATAAGTATTCATGTATAATAATAACAATAATATGTTTTTAGACAAAATTTTAAATATATATTATATACTTATTAAAATAAAATAAAAATAAAATAAGAATTAAAAATTTTGATATATCACAGTTATAAATATAAATTAAAAGAATAAAAATTATTCTTTTCGCAATTTTATATCTACAAAAAAAAAAAAAATAAAAATTTTTTGATTTTATTTTATTTATTTTAGAAAATATTTATTAATTAAATTAATATGCGTAGAATGTAAAATGAATTTAATAACGTACTACAATATTAGGGAATATTAAAATGACCATATAATAAATAAAATGTCAAATTAAAAAATCGATTATAATTTATAATATAATCGATTATTATAAATATTCAATCTTGTAAAAGAGTTATTCAATTTCGTTCTCAATAATTTAACGCATCTACTCATTTCTTTAATTTGTTGTTCTTCATGAAAAATGCTATTGTGAATTTTCTCTAAATTACTGAAATTACTGTACACATAATAAGAAATTTTATTTAATTTTCTCTTGTAAATGTCATTTTCAAATTTAAAATACACACAAGCAATGAAAAAAAAAATTACCATTATAAAATTAGAAAAAAAAAAATTTAATTATTTTATTCAAACATTAAGCAAATATTTAAAATAAAAAAAAAATTTTTTTTTTTTAGATGAATTTTTTTTTTATTAAGTTAATAAAATGTTTTTGTTTTTTAATTATTGAATGAAATGAATTGTGAAATTAAATAATAATATTGTATATAAAATTTTTAGTGCTATACAGAAAGCAATTTTTTATAATTACACTGTAGAACTACATTTTTTGAATGGCGCTGTTTTAAATTAAATAATTTAACCCTCTCTAGCGAACTAGTAGTTTATTGTGTAATTACAATAATATTGTCTTCGGTATATTACTATAAATTATATATATATACAATAATAATTATAAATTTTGAATTTATAAAATGATTTTATAAAGAAACAAGAAAAAAAAAATAACACCAATAAAATATCAAACAAAACTTTTTGTCTTAAAATATTTACCACATTAAATTTTCAAAAAAATAAAATTATTTTTTTTTAATAATCGATTTCATTTCTGGTAAAACTTTTCAGCTCTACATAAGTTTCATTATATTGGGCTAAATAAATATATAAAAATAAAAATTATAAGTAAAATGAAATAAATAAAAAAAAATTTTTTTTTTTGGGTTTAAAATTTAAATTAAATTAAGTGTGTATTAATTTTTTTTTTCACAAAAATAATGACTGTATAAACAATTTTAATATTATGATTTAAAAAAATAAAAAAAACGAAATCGTGTAAAAAGAAAATTTTAAAATAAAGCAAATCGAAATAAAAGAAAAAACTCACAACAAACACGAATTTTTATATTATTTTTTTCTTTTTTTTTTTGTAAATGATTATTTTCATAATGAACAGAAAAAAATTAAAATTAAAAAAAAAGCAAATCTTCTTTTTATTTTCTTAAAATATTTAAATTTAAAATTCTATTATTATAAAATAATTTTTATGTGTTATATGGTATAACACTTTTACGATATATAAGTTGAATAAAATCGTAAAAATTTATTATTGTCTTGAAAATGATGTAAGCAACCTAATAATTACAATCTGAAGTAATATTATTTAATTTTTAAATTTGTCGTAAGTGATTTTACGTAATATGTATACGTAAACGTGGTCGTATATAACACTTATATTAACATATTATAAGGAAATTATAATAAAATCACAATTATCGTAAATTTATTATTTAAATAAGAAAATAAATTGTATATAAAAGATTTAAAATTAGAATATGTAAAATTCAATAATTTTATAACACTTTTAAGATTTTTATTTTAAAAAATTTTACTTAATGTTTGAAAAAAATATTTTTTAACGAGCAATTTAAAAATCATCAATAAGGAAATCAAGCACATCATTAAAAAATTTTCGTGTATTTTTTTTAAATTACTATTTTTATTAAGTTTTGCATTGAGTTTTTATAAAAATTTAATTGAATAATAAAGTCTAAATAGCCACGACTTATAATACAATGAAATTTATAATGTATACTACTGTTATTGAGTTCTGCCAACTTTTGGAAACAATTTTGTGAATGTCTTTTAAATTTATTAATTTTGTTTTTTGATTTGGCCTTTTTAGAATGAATTCATAAATATTTACGACACGATATCGTAAAAGTTGAGCAAAATTTGTTCATTACAATACGATATCGTAAGAAAACTTATAAATTTTGACAAATCAAAAATTTGAATGATTGTTTTTTATGCAATAGTAATATTTTTAATGTCAAGTCTGTGAAAACATTGTAGAAACTTATAATTAAATGATTTTGTCGATAAATTTTTTTTAATTATAAATTTGATTAATCTCAGTAGACATTATAATAATCGTGGCTTATATTGAATTTAAAACAAAAATATAAGAACAACTTTTAAAGTCACTATATTTAATAATTCCCTATATAAGTTCTAATAATGCATTCTAATAGATTTTCAAATTAAATTTATATTTAATGCGGCTAAAATGGAAAAATAATTTTCAAAAAGAAAACTATGTATGAAATTATGCAATTTTTGTATTTTTGTATTTTTTTTTTTTTTACTTTTAAATTTTTCCCAATATTTTGTGTACTTAATTTATAAATTTTTAAGGCATTATTCATTTTTTTTTTTTTAAATTTGTGTTTAAAGCTCAAAGCTTATATTAAATGTAAAACTTTTATAGGTTTTCTTGTCACATTAAAATAATGAAATATAAGTATGTGTTGTAAGTATATATAAAAAAAGGGAAAATTAAGAATATTTTTTGTTTTCTAATTCTTTATCATTTATCCTTAATACTAGCGTTTTGTTTTCAATACTTTTAAAGAAAAAAGTATATATGAATTTAATTGCTTACTTTTCCTATAATTATTATAAATCGAACAGAACTAATATTATTATATAAGCACTTAAATTAGTTAGAAACAAAAACAAGTCATTGAATAAAACAAAAAAAAAAAAGTTAAGAAATGCAAAAATTTGGCAGCAAATCTTTTAATTTTCTTTTTGTCCTTCTTTTGTATATATGTATTTTATTTGTATTGTATGTGTATGGTGAATGTAAAATTTATGATGTAATTCATGTAGTTATCATGTTTTGTCAAATGAATGTTTAACATAAATAGTAGTTGGTGAGTGTATTATGTAAATGCATTGATTGTATTTACCTATAGTATATAGAGACAAAATCATTTCAATATTAAATTTGACATATTATACGTCAAATTATATTGTCCTGTTTCATTACATTTAGTTAAAAACATATTAAAATATTTGAAAACAACCATATCGTTAATATTTCAATTAAAATGAAATATTAAAATCTAAATTGGAATATGAAATTGAATAAAAATTGCGGTTTAACTACATTTTAGTTCATTGTTCTCGTTCATATATTAGTAGTGGGGTACAATGACGTTGAATGCACTTTAAAATTTAAATTTAGTTAAAATTTTCTAAATTCAATTAAACTACAGTAGTGATATAAAAAACTTCATCGATATTGTGAATACACTTTAATGAATCGTTTGGACACAAAAAATTTTAAGAAATTTGGATCTACTCAATTTTTCTTTAAAAAAAACTATTTTTTATAACACTTAAATCAAGCGTAATTGAAATTTGGATTTACAATCGATTGTAAATTCAAAATGAATTCCTTCAAAATAATTCCCTTTGAATATTTTTATAAAAATTTCACCAATAAGCCAAATTTCCTTTTTGTTCTACATTATATAAAATGGACAATTAATTATTTTAAAAGAGGGCACTTTTAATCAATTGAAATGATTATTTAATTAATAATATTAATAATTTTTTTTTAATTTTAGTTGTATAATTATATAATAGTATGCAATTTCATTATACAAAAATAAAAATTTGTATTTATAATAGGAGTCATTATTTGTTGTCCTCGTCATTTATATTATAAGAATATTTAAATAATAAAAACAAAAAGACGAATACAATAAAATTATAATTCTTCAGTTAACACTCCATTATTACTATTTGCTATATTATTACAATATGATCTAGGTCTAGGCCTATTACTATATGGTTGATTTGAATTATGACTGTTATTACGTCTTAAACGATTTGATATTCTGTCATGAGATTTGGTTCTACTTATAAATGAATTACTCATTGGATTTATATCATTTATATTATTTGTATAACCAGGTGGTGTATCACGAATTTGATCACAAAAATTTGTAATATTACTATTACTATTGTTATTATAATTATTATTAGGTATACGACGTCGTGATGCTGCTGCAATACGACTTGGTATTGGAGATCTGGTAATATTATTTGAAAAATTATTATAATTTGAGATATATTGTTGTGGCATTGAATATTTTTCAGTAATTTCTGGTGATAAATCTGGATATGGTTGTTGTCCAGAACGTTGATTTTGTCTTATATATGGTGTTTGATATTGATGATGATGATGATGATTATTGTGAGACTGTTGTATTTGTTGTTGCTGTTGGGGATGATAATGATGATTATGCTGCTGATGATGATGATTATTATGTGAATGATTATGATAATGATTTTGTTGTTGAAAATTTAATGGTGGTGATGATGATGATGACGATGATGTTATTGGTATTTGATTTGTATTTGGTGGATTTATTTGAAATCCATTAGATGGTATTGGTGGTAACGGTGCTGGTCTAATATAATTTGATTTATATATATTAGACTGACCATTATTTATATATAAATTTTGATTATTATAATTATGTACTGTTGGTATAATAGGATAATCAGGATTTATTTGACTATAATCGTCATCATCTAATGATTCAGAACGATCAATTTTTTTACCATCCAATGAATTTAAAATTGAATTTGGATTTTGTTTATTCGGAACATGATTTAAAATAGGTTTCTTTAAATTATAATGATAATTATTATCATCATTATCATTTTTATTTTTATTATTTAAAATAATTGGATTTGAATTAATTGGACTTGGTATTGGACTTGTTTCACTATATGAACCAATAGGCACTGGATGTTGAAAAGGAACATATGTATTTTCAATTGATTTTGAACCAGAACGTGAAATATTTTTAAAAGTTTGCAATGCAAAATTATCATTTGTATCATCTAAATTTGAATTAATAATCCCCTGATCATTTATTGAATTTTTTGTAATAGGAGAATTAGTTGCAGTTACTGTTGTGGCAATAGCACAACTATTATTTGTATCATCATTTGAATTATTTGCAGAAATCAATTGTTCATTTACTATTTGAGTATATTTTATGTCAGGACGATGAATATAACTATTATAACTTGAACTTTTATTACGATTATAACTGTTTGTTAAACTGTTATTAAATTGATAAGTACTTTGACTGTTATAATTACGAAAATTTAATTGTGATGTTTGTTGGGTTTGTTGTTGTGTCTGTGGTTGTAATTGTGATTGATTTGTTATATTTTGTATTTGTTGTTGTTGATATTGTTGATGTGGTCTTGTTTGTGTACCATTACTATTACTGTTACTGTTACTGTTACTGTTACTGTTACTATTATTATTGTTATTATTATTGTTTAAGGAAACAGTTGATGCTCGTGATAATGATATTGGTTTATTATTATATGTGTTATTTAAACTGCTGTTATTATTATTAATAATATTATTGCTACTATTAATAGAATTACTATCATTATCAATATTATTATTTCTATAACTATCTGAATATGTCAATTTTGGTTTTTTATTGAAAAAATCAGCTGCATTATAATTATATTTTTGCTGATGTTGATTTTTATAATTTTGTTCTTTGTTGTTATTATTACTATTAATGTGTATTAATTGCTTATTAAGACTATTATTATTGTTATTATTATGTTTATTAATTGATAACATTGTTGCGCTAGCTGATGTTGGTATGCTAGTATAGCTCACGTACATTGGATGTACAGATGTATGTTGAGGACTTTTTGCATCACCACCCATGAAATCGACTGAAGTTTTGAATTTTTTTTTTTATAGAGTTTTAAGAGTTTGTAAATAAAAAAAGAATAGAAAAAAAATAATTCTTTTTTTTTTTTTTGCCATTGTTGTATAAAAGCATAGTTATAAAAATAGAATTTTTTTCTTTTTTTGAATAAATTTCGAAATATTATGTATTTTAATTTTAATGATACAAATGACATTAAATTATGAATTTAATAGTAATAATAATAAAAAAAAATGTATTTGTTTTGGACGAACAACAATGATTATGTGATTTGATTATGTATTTTTGGTGGATGATTTATAAACATTGATTATAAAAAAAAAATGTGTTAAAAATGTGATTAGTTTTTATAAAAAATTCATTTTGCTATCTATACACCCATAATAATTATAACCAAGCTATTGCATTCAAAATGCTGAATTTGTTGTGTTTTCACATGTTAATTACAATAAATAATTTAACAAAATAAATTATTTCTCAAAAAACACACTCAATGGGAAATATTCTCGAAATGTATTTGAAAATCTCATAAAACACTTGAGTGAAATTTTGAACTCAAAATTATAGTAATTCCTAATTGTCTATTATGAAATTTTTGACAAAAAATAAAAGCGAACGGAACCAAGCGCTTTTTACTCTCTCATGTGTATGAAAGAGTAAATGAAATTTGAAAATTACCTTATTCTCTCAAACTAAAAATCATCTCATCTCTTCTAAAATAAGGATTAAAAATATAAAAATTTAGAGAGTAATTTCCTCTTTAATTTTAAAAAAAGAATTTAATTCAAAATTACACTCTCTCAAATTTTGAAATGAAAACAGTTTCATTACTGACTGCATTTCAAATTTAGTAATATTGACAATTCTTGTTTTTGTTCTAATTATTATGGTGTTAGCTTTGAAATTTTTAAAATAATTTAGAAATTATACACGTATTTGAAATTATGCATAATAATACAGGGTGTGATGGAAAATTTAATTTGTTAATAAATTTTATTAGTCGTATGTATGTATATATATTATATTTTTCACATTTCTTTTTTTTTGTTTGAGAAGGTAGGGAAGTTAGTTTATGATATTGAAATTAGCTTAAGTGTATAGGTATATGGTACCTATTATATAATATAATAAATGTTTATTTTTTAAAATAAATTATTTAAATAAATTAAACTTATTAAATAAACTTTTGAAAATGAAATGTTCATCAATCAGGTATACAAACATAAATTATTGTAATGAATTTAATTTCATTAATATTTCTATGGAAAAAGTCGACAGAATAGACTTTTTTCGGTTTACGGAAACTCTCAACATTATGTAGTTCTATAAATTTGATTTGAAATTTTAGTAGTTTCATAAATTTTTTTTAAAAATACAACTGGTTCACAGTTATAATTCGTAATTTATAAGTTTTTTGTTTTCCAAAATATTTTCATTCAGCTACAATTGTTTCATATTAATAGCTTCTTGTTTTATTTCTTGCAGTTTTTAATTATGATTTTTTCTCCCATTTCTAACATTCTAGTTTGTTTTTTAGTTTTAATATACTGCATCTTTTTATGGCATTATGTATATCTTTGCCTGGCATTCAAATCTCTTATTCAATATTATTTTAATTTTCTGTTAAATTTTTTTTTTATATTTTTTTTTTTTAAATTAATATTGTTAATATATATTTATATATATGTAGTAGTAAAGAAAATTTTTAAGCAAAGTTTGTCTTAAAATAAATTATTAAAATCAGTTTCTCTTTTACGCATTATACTTGTAATATTTTATTCTAGTTATAGCTATACTTGCACACCCTGTATTATGTGCGGTTTTTGTTTTTATGTTAAAAAAGCATAAAGTATACATAATTTATTTAAATGAACATGTATAAAATTTTTAATAATGAACAATATTTACACAAATAATTTTTAATTTATGACATTAAAACAATAAAAAAATAATGAAATAGAAAAATTAAGGTTAATATTTTAAAAATAATGATTTTTTGATATTTTTACAATTTATAAAATTGCTTTTAATTTAATTAATATAATATTAAAAACATTTAATTTTGTATTTTTAAAGAAGTTTTAATGAAGTTTTTAATGAATAATGAAATGTGTTTAAATTTTGATGTATTTATATTAAATGGTATAACGTTAATTGTTTTTGGATTATTAAAGCTATGACAAGCGATGAGAATTTGGTTATTTTACAATATTTTAATATGGACAAAATAATATTTAATATATAAAAGTATGAACTTCTACTATTTTAAACGTATAACAAATATGCAATTTATTTATCCTGAAATTTTCTATATTTAAGAAAATTCTATAAAAATCATAATGATAATATGAATAATAATAATGTTAAAAGAAATTTTAATAATACCCGAACTCTCTCTGCTAAACCATTGCACTCCCCGCGCTTTTGTCTTTCTTAATTCTCTCTTTAAATTATGTAATAATTATTAATTATGCAAAATTGAAGAAAAATATTTTAAAAGATCTATAAAATAATATTATAGTCTTCAAATAGAGAATGTACCCATTGTTTTAACTCATTCTCATGATAGTATTGAGAAATAATTTCTTTTAACTCATTTTCATAAAAGTTTTATAAAAATTTTTAGCTTAAACAATCAATATTTTTTTGTAATACTTAAGTAAAGTCTAAAATTATTTGCATAATTTTTTTTGCAAATTTGCGTGCCTTTATATTTTACATACATATGTGCTTTTTAGTTATACATATTTCATTGTCAAAATATTCTAAGAGTATTTATGATGTCATTGAAATTTCAATTTGCATTAAAAAATTATTTTTTTTCGCAAATTATTTACTCATTCAGCAACCAAGACCGTAATTGTATGTATTGTATATATAGGAAACTTATTTCAAAAGAAAACTAATATTTGCATATGGCAATATTTTTTTTCGCGTTTCCATAAATATAGCACGAAATAATATTTATTTAATGATAAGACAATATTATTATACCCTCAATATGGCAAAAGTTTATTAAAATAAATTTACTTAAAATAAATTACAATTTATTTATGAATATGTGTTTTTGTAATGTGTGAATTCAATTACTTAAAATATGTGCTTATTACAGAATTGATTAGATCATTTTTTTTTTATTTATTATCTATCATTAACTGATAATAATAAGATATGTTATAAAAACAGTACTTGAAATTTATTTAAAAACAATGACTATAAAATAAGAGTTTAATTGAATAAAAAAGTTACTCAAATCTCATATTCAATTCTTTTTAAAATTCGAACTCAGAATATTGTTACAATCAAGCTTCTCTCACTCAAATATTCTCACGAGAAAACTTTAGTAATTTGAAACTCATTTTGAACTAAACATTTTAATTTTTTGTTTACTCTATCTAGTATCCATTCTCTAATTTTCAAATAATAGGTAGGGTTGTTCATCATGTTATCTCGGTAACTCAACATCATATTTAGAAAACCATTTTTTTAAATTTGCCTTATAATCCCCGTTTGAACTTAACAGGTTTCCTAGTTTCTGGGTAATGTATATGTAATTAAACTTATATAAGTATTTTGTATTGCACTTATTATACCCACATAACTTTCGTATGCGCTACCCAAAAATTTTTAATTTCATTTTAAGCGCAATGTAGGGTAGTCTCTTCTCTATGCGGAATGTTGACCTTAAATTTTATTTATAAAAATAATGAGTTTAAAAAGAAGTGATACAATGAAAATAATCTGATGAACGAACCTATTCAAGAATAAAATTTAATTAAATTTTCACAATATAATAAGCGTAATTACTATTGTGATTTTTCATCAATATTTTTATAATTTAATTCATTTCAAACCTATAATGCAATTCGCATTCATATTAAAATTTTAATTGTTTAAATTCATTTAAAGATTGCAAGGCATTATTGTTATTTATAAAAATCAAATAAATGAAACACAAAATAGCGGTCAGGCAAACAATAGTTTTTATAAAAAATTTAAAATAAATTATAATATATGTATGTAACTAATAAACTAATAAGAATTATAAAATATTTGTTTATGTAAATGTATACACAATATCTTTTACATTATTATAGAATAGAAGAAGCCCATACTCTTTAGAATTTAAAAGAAAATTTAAATTTAAATAAAAATAATAAAGAAATAATGAAAAATTAAGAATTAATTTTGAATTTGAATAGTTTTTTTTAATTTTCTACTTTTTTACAATAATATAAAAGCAATGATAAATTGTATTATACAATAATAATTATTATTAATTAATAACAATAAAGAACTATTATAAAATGTTATTGAAATATGAAAATGAAATTTATAAGTTCTAAACTACGAAGGAAATGGTATATAAAATGAACAAAGAAATAATTTTCAACTACACTGCAATGATTATTTATTATGTATGTATTATACATATAATACTTATTTACTTAATTAATAAAAATTTTTTATTATATATTTATGAAATATTATACATAGATTTATAAAATACTCTAATAAATTAATGATAATAAAGTGAAATAAAAATTAATGTTATATAAATGGAAGAATTAAGAGACAAAAAAAAAATAAATGTATACAAAATATGGGCATCTTACTTACATTGATCATCTTCATCAATAAATAAATAAGCTATTAAAATTGCTCCAAATATAGCAAATACCTATAATTATATTAAAAAAAAATATAATAAAAATTTTATTAATATCATAGTAAATGAGTAGAACACTTAAATTGATAACTTAAAATTTATGGTAATTATAAAAAAAATTCCAAAGCAAATCGCAAAAAATTCATATCTTCTCTTTTCAACTTTCACAAATTATTTTTATTTCAAATTTTATTAAAAGTTTTATCACTCTCATTCATTAGCCTCATTCAGTCACAATTTGTCCGCCTTCAAAACAGACTGATTGCTTACTTTTTCCAATTAAACTTTCTAATTTTTCTAAATTTGTCATGTAAAAATATTAAAATTATTGACTTAACATTATAGCTTAACATTATAGTTTTAAAAACAGAGTGACTCGACGGTAACCGAATCCGGTATATATTTTAGAAAAGGCAAGGCACGTTTGGTACGAAATTTGGTACGAAAAATGTTTTTTCTTATAAAAATTATGTTAACGGGTAATTTTATACTCACTCACTTTTTTCAATAAAAAAGTAAGCAAGTAAATAAGTAAATGAGTACGTTACGTAATGATGTCCTTAATTTCCATCGCATATTGAAAATGAACAAACAATATACAATTTGGATATGAACAAACTCAGCCTCTTATTACAATCTTAAAATTTATTCTAAGCTGTATAAGGTAATTTAGTTAGGTGGCAAAGATCACTAGTTGAAATTTTGCCGCAGAGTATGAAGTATTTTTTTATACACATCTTTCGCTTTTAAATTTAAACTTATAATTGGTATTTTTTATAATAATTTCTATAAATAAATACAACCCTGTGCCTTTGGCGCAAAACTCGTTAATATGTAATATGATACTGATCTATATGTATCTTAATCTCAATATATACATTTCTATAGTTTGTTTAAATAAAAATATTCAAAATATACTTACACCTAAAACACATTGTACACCTGAATGTATAATTTCAATAATTGTATAATCTAAAAGGCAATCATCGACTCTTTCTGGTCGAGGTGGACGGTAAGGATCCTCTGACGTAATATTTGTTGGATATGTTGGTTTACAACCATATCCATTTACTTCAAACCATGAAACGCTACCTGTTCCTAAATTTAATATATCACTGTTCTAAAAAAAAAAATTCGAAAAGACAAAATTTAATGTAATATAAAAAATCAAGATTAATATCAAATATACTTACTTTATCTAATGTTCCAACATCTAAGTAAAAGCATATTAAAAATACATTCCAACCAATCCATATGAAACTCCATACTAAATACTGAAAACATTTAAGAAATTTAATTTTTAATAAAAATTTGTGTATAAATTGTTAATTATGTAAAAATATCAACTTATTAAATAAAATTAAGTGAAATAGTAGAAAAAAAGTTTTTGTTATAACTATAATTTACGATGTGAAGATAATGTTTTGAATATTGAGGTACTAGTACCTACAAAGGCTGTAATACAATAACTATTACCTATGTAGAAATATGTAGGTACTAGTAATTGTGATACAAACATAATTACTAAAAAATATGTAGTATACTCTTATCAATTCCTCATAAAAACACAAATTTATAGGAACAATAGCTATAAAATTCGGCAATTTACAGATTAAGAACCTTTTTTAATACATATAAGGTACATATACACATTTTATGAAGTCACATCTACAATATTCACTTTTTATGAGGTCACATCTACAATTTCTTGCTGTATTGTTTTATACACTGATCCTCAAAGAGATAATGTCGATATCGAAAAGAATTTTTAAGGTAAAAATTTTTTTTCCTTTAACTCAATTTACTTTATCATCTAAAAAATGCTTGCAGTTTTGCAAGTTTATGTGCGAACATAAATATATAGGCACTTATGTATATACATACATACATACATATATTCAATATTTGCATCTGGAGCACTTATTATTATTTAATGCCATTAAGGCACATTCTAAATACAATTTGAATTTTATAAAGAATCTAAACAGAACCTATTTAAATAAGCTCTCTTTTATTTGTCAATCAATTTAAATATCCTTAATTTTTAAATGATCTACTTGTAATAAATATGACAATTTTTCATTATAAAATGTTCTTAATGCACATTGCTGCATTAATTATAAATTAAATGAACCATTTTTTATATACATAGCTACTCGTTTATAAGCTTGAGAAAATTTTAAATACATACATATATAAATTTAACTATGCTGAAGTAGGTATGATTATTATTTTGAATTGTTTTTCTTGAAAAGCTATTTTATTCATGAACTCATTTTTTACACATTATAAAAAAAAAACTATAATTTTTCCAGTTAATTGAATTGACTGAACTGCTTATATTTTAAATATTTTTTAAAAATGCAAAATAAAATAAAAAACGAGATTATTAAATGTCAAATATTTTTTTATATCATTCATATAAGTACATACAAATGTATGTATATAGAAAGAAAAATGTACACACTCACACAAATCAAGTAGTGCTAACGCTAAGCCATGACAGAGATATATGCATTTAAAGTGACCATACTATTATTTCCCAAAATTTAAATAAAATTTGTATTTTTTTAAATTTATAAATTGTGCTAAAAATTTGATAACTACTATTAGTAAAATGATACTATTAGTAATCTGACCATTGGTGCAGTGGTTATGGCACCGGTCCTTTAACCGAAGGGTCTCGGGTTCAAACCCCGGTCAGGTCACTATAAAAATTATATTCAATATTATTATAACTTAATATACAATACTAATAAAAAAATATTATACAAGTAATTTTCAAATATTCCTAATATTCGATATTAAAAAAAAAAAAAAAAAAACTAAGAAAAATAAATAGTAAATATTAATAATCTCAAATAATTAAATATATAAATAAAAACTACGGCAGGCTAGTCACCTAAATAGTTAAACCCTATGACGCTATGAAACTAGTGCATGAGAAATCATGCACTAGCCCTATGCTCCTTCTAGGAGTGAACAAAGGAAAAAAAAAAAAAATTAGTAAAATGAATGTCAATTTCATACAAAATACATACAATAGCACACAATCAATTTTTTAAAATAGCAGATTAAGTTGAAATCAATTTACAAACTCTCTTATTTGTTATTATATGCCATGCCATCATGTTGAAAGACTATTTTAGGCTATGTTTTGTAATTTGCAAAAACAAGTATGATGTGTGCATATCAGTTGAACTGGTATACTGCAAAATGTATTTTGTTATGTAAAAACGCTCAATATTTTGAATTGTTTCTAAATAAATGAGGTGATCAACACATTAGTGGCCTACTTACAAAAATGACATTTCAATACTCATTGAAATATTTAAATATTTAATTTTTATTAAAATTTTTAAAAAGCAGAAACGAAGTTATGTCAAAATAGAGTGAAAAGAGAACTAAAATAATTATTTTGAAAATATAGAGCAATTATTTAGACCAATACAGCTCTATTCAATATAACAAATCATTTTTGCAAAAATGTTCAAGAAGCCATAAATGTACTGAGAGTTTTAAATGTAAGTGTAAAACAAATTTCATTTGACAAATCGGCAAAATAAAATTTCTGTTTGCAGAGAATGCTGTTTCAACAACTCTTTGCATTTGCAGATTCAATTTAGTATTACCGCCGTGAACTCAATCTCTTGTGTATAAACTTAATATTTTTTGTTATAAAAACTTCCATTTTAATTAAGTATAATATAATTTATTTGAGAAGTAAATTTGGTAATGGTCACTCTAGTCTTCTAATAACATAACATTGTAAAATACATGCATATCTATTCCATAATAATGAGTTATTAAATTTGTGGTAATAATATATTTATGTTTATTATGCTTTTATATAAGAAAAAAGAAAAAGAAAAACAAAAACAGAAAAATTATAAAAATAAAATTTAAAATGTATGCAAAGTTAATCGCATCATAATCATCATCATCATTTTGTTATCTTTAGTACCATTCACAATGATAAATTATGATGAAGATTATTGTCATCATCATATTATCATCATCGTAGCACCATTTTTATCATTGTCGTCAATAAAATATGTGTGGTAAAGGCAAATCTATTAAGACAATTTCTAAGTTTATAGTAGCAAATTGATTTAAAGTTCATAAAACGAACAAAAAAAAAATAGAGAGAGAAAAAAAATTTTTTTTTTTATATTTAGGTCAAAATAATTGATCCATAAAAATTCCTCGGACGCCATTCACAATATTGTTTTCTTTCCTTTAATTTTTTTTTTTATTCTTTTTGTTGTTCTACTACATACTTACATAAATATATGGTTATATGTTTTTTACTTTTTGTAATGAAGTCAACTGTATATTTTTTCTTTGTTTTTATTTTCTTTGTATTATATTAATTTGTAGGGCAAATTAATTGTTATCATGCATGATGAGGGTTCATCTTTGTTGCTATTTGGTATTTGTTTAAAATTTATGCTCATCTAATTTTTTCTTTTTTTTTTGTTTGTTTACTCTACTTTTAGTGGTTAACGATATTATTTATAATAAGCATCGTACATAAATTTACATACATATATACATGTAACATAATTCTGTAATTTTATACATACATACGAGTATATACATACATAAATCTAAAATATGTGGCACAAATTCTTAATGACATTATTTTAGTGAAGTTTTAAATAAGTATTTTGTTAATAGGGATCGGATAGCTTAATAAATAAATCATTGCACCCTAATTTTTAATTTTTTTTTTGTTGGTGTTTAAATATTTTCTGATATTATATATATATTTGTTCTAAACTTATTTGCATACTATTTTTGAAGATGATATTTACTATTACATGTATGGATTTAAAGTACGATACTTGTGAGTTTCTCCTGTAAGTTGATACATAAGTACATATGTATATATGTATGCATGTGCCAGGGTATATATGTATGCATATACTAATAAACAACTCATAAACAACTCATAAAGAATCCAGAATGAAAATTCAGAAGCTTAAGTAGCACTTATAAAATAAATTTCATATTCTTCTTAATAGAATCATTTTAATTTGTCTGTTGCTCATATTTATAATTTTTTAAACATCAACAATTAATAATTAGGTATGTTTATATATATTACTAAGTGTGTATGTCATAATTTTAATATTTGAAATTTAAAATTGTGTGTGTCTCTTCTATATGGCATAAACTAATCTTAAATGAAAATATCTTGTTTTGTAATTCAATTTTGAATACTGAATTAATTAATTTTTTTTCGTTTTTTTTATTTGTTTCTATGAATATTTAATTAAAATTCATTTAACTAATTTTAAAATAGGTTAAAATATTATAATTAACAAAAATTTAAATGAATTCAAAATAAATTTGTTTTTTTAAGTTCATAAATATTTTTTTTAATTGGTTTATTATAACTTTTAATGCAAATACGATAAATAATGATAAATAAGATATCAGCCAATATGTACTTTATCGATTTATAGTAAAAATACTGATATTACATTTTTATAAATTGCTTTCATTTATATACCACAATATTTCAAAAGATTGCATACATTTAGGATGACAAAAAAAAAAATTTAAAGAGAGCTTAACTTAATGGTAAATTCAAGAGCTAATTGCTAGAGTTAAGATAAATAATTATATTTTTTTATGGCGTGAAATTTGGAAAAGCTTGCAGTTTCAGAAATATAAGGAGCCGAAAAAAACTTACAATGGACTGTGGCATTTTTAGGACTTTGAGGGACTATTACTTTTATAGGTTCTATAAGTTTCTACTAAAGATCTATTTGTGTTTAAAATTTCAGCTTTCTACCTCAAAGGCTGTAGAAATTTTACGAATAGACACACAGGCGGAAGAACAGAGCAAAACTACAATAACTACTTTTTTTTCAAAAAATTTTTTTTGGCAAAGTGCTAAAAAAATATGAATTAATATAAGATCAAAATATATACATAATCACATATATACATATGTAGCTTTAAAACAATATGGTTTGGCACATTATTATTAAATATTTTTAGTGAAATTCTGTAATTGAATCCAATTACAGAAGGCCTACCTTACTAAATAGCGGTGACAGTAAATGTTTATATGTACCTACAATATAAAGCATATAAAATATTTTCAACCAGTTTATCAATTATAATTATAGTGTCGAAGGCATGTAAATAATCAAAATTTTCGAACGGGAGTCCAGAGAGCTTAGCTTTAAACCTCAGAAGATAGATATCAAAGAGCATATAATAACTAATTGTGCCTTTCTTTTTGAATAGGTATAAAGTT